ATGAATATTATTATTGAGTATCAAAATTTTATGAATTTATAATAGTGATTAAATTTGACAAGCAATCAAATTAAAAGATTGAGAGAGATCATGATAGGCTTTTGTGTAACAGAGGAAAAGGTTAAGTGAGATACATATATCAAATTATTACCTAACCTTTACATTGTAGTAAAAATGCATATATTTGATTATTACATGACCTTTAGATTCTAGTAAATGTGCTTTTGTTCATTGGTAAATAAATAGATCATGTCTCATAAAAATGTAATTTATTTATTTGAATTGTAATGATTATCATTTTATGAATTCATAATAAAAACTAGAGGTAGAATAACACTTGATTTGGAAAACAAGCACATTTGATGATAGTAAAGGAAGGTTACTATATTATTTTCAAAAAAAAAATTTGTTTAAATTAATATTATTTTATTTTAGTGTTATTTACAATGATTAAACTTAAAATTGGAGGATGGAAACCTTAATTAAAATGTTGAAATTTGAAATTGAACTATAACTAACTAAAGTGTAATTAAGTAATGTGATATAAATTTATTAATATCAATATATTATATATTATAGGTATTCAATGGAGTGGTTATAATTTAAGAAGTAAAAAGCATGAAAGACTAGAGGTGAGTAATTATATTTATAAATTTCAGTAATATTTATTGTTTTTAAATATATTTCTAATTTTGTTTTTGCTTTATTCCAATGCAATTTAAATTACAATAGATTTTTCATTTTTAGACAAAATATAGATGTTAAACAGTTCCACAATAATTTTCTGAAGATGTCATATTTTCACATGACCTTTTAGTTTCTAATATATATATATATATCGGATTATCACATGCCCTTTAAATTATAATAAATATGCATATATCATATTATTACATGAAATTTATTTTCTAGTAGATGTGCATATATCCGATTATTACATGATCTTTAGATTATGATAGAAGTGCATTTATTCATTGATAGGTAAATACAGATTATCTCATAAGAAATTAATATGTAGTATGAAGAGTGAAATGAAAATATTATAATATATATGAATGTTTTGTGTGCATGCTAAGAAAAAAGTTCATTTATTTATGATACTAATTGGGAATGTTAATATATCTGCATACGTAGATGTTCTTCTACAATCTCAGGCAATCATGTAATTTAGATTACGAACCATTGTGTCAATGTAAGAATATTGGCTAGGGGTGAGTATACACTTTTACATCTCAGATAATAGTGGATATGTTTTGCGTCTCATTGTGTCTATGGGGTATGTATTAGCCAAATGTGTGTTAGATTATATTTAGATGGGACACATATGGACTAGAGTTGCCACTTTATTCATATTTGTTCTTCGGCTAACTTTCCTATAGGACAAACAATATTAATCATGTGAGTCTCTCTCATAGGTTCGGCTTGAATCCCTAGCATTACTCTCATGTTGGCTGAAATCAAATACTCTTCTCTAATGTCTTCATTTTCTCCTATGTCACTATACATTTTTTCAACTATTCCCTTTTAAGTGAAAAATATCAGTTTTCCATTTGAATAATTTGATGCAATGTGCCCAAAATCATGATATTTAGCATTTTTATGATTGGATAGATCTAGATCTGTTGGTTGGTTTCGAAAAGTTTTCCACTTTGAACTAGTTTTCTTAGTTGGTAAGCTTGGATACTCCACTAGGTGTACTCTTGTTGCCTAATCTTGGGGCTGAATTCCATTTGTACGGTGTGATGGTCACATGGAGATATTGCTTTTTCTTTACCTTCAAAGTAAGGGACTGTGCATCAAGTAGGGACCAATACAACTATAGTTGCATCACATTATGAATAGATGATCTCAATCCTTCAATATACTGCACTACTAAGTGTTCCTCGAGTTCCACCAACTCATATTTCAATATGAGTTGATCAAATTCAGTCATGTGCTCTTCCACAGAAGAATCTCTCTGATTGATGAGTTGGAGTTTTGGTAACATATCCAGTTGGAAAGATGGGGGAAGGTATTTGTTTGTATCTCTCTTTTCTTCTTAAATCGGGTGGTGATCTTACTCTTTTCTTCTCGTTGTTGATGAAACTTCATAGTCTCCCACCATAATGAAGCTTTTTTCCTTAGCTTAATAGTGTCTATATGACCCTCCTATTGGTTGATTCATTTTTTAAAGACCTGTTTCACTGTCTGGAACCACTAGATAAACTTGTTTGGATTTATGCGACCGTCAAAATCTAGTAAGTCAATATGCACTTTAACACCCTGACTTTTCTGATATTCAGTGCCCAATCGACGTGCATTGACGGATTGTCACTTGAAGCTTCTTGGCAGAAGGGATTCACTTCTTTCTCTTGATCTATTGAGTCACCATTATAGTTATAAGGGATCTTACCGACTTGTCTTTTGTCAAAAGCGGAAAGTCTTTGTTTCAATTGGAAGATTTCCACTCCATCTCTGTCATAGTAAGTTCGTTCATACCCACACTGAGGGTTTTCTCTTAGGCGTCATTACGACTTTTTCTTCCAATTAGGGTTTTGACAGGTGCAGGGTTGTGGATAAAAGATTGCCAAATTTTAGGATTTTAGTTGTAGGTGTAGGGGCAGATATTTGGTGAATGTTAAAATGTCGATTTTTTAAAATTTAGGTTTAGGACTAGAAATTGCGGTAGGATGATTTGGGATTGGTGAGAATTTTTTTTTTCAGAATTTCGGATTTGAGGCAAGATAAACAAATCCATAAAAATCTAGAGTTTGTTGGGCTCTAATATTGTTCTAGGGTGTTTGTAGGAAGCGTAAGATGGTTAGGGATGTTGTAGGATGGATAACGAGAGCGGGAGGAATGATGTCGATTGAATTCCGGCATGAATGACAGTGGTACAGCGGTCCAGAAAAATGGGAACATCGGTTTCTACTGTTCAACATCAGTAGTAGCGAGGAATGATTGTTGCCTGCTGAAAATAGCAGGTAGATGGCGTTTGGAAAGGTATTGGGGATGACATCTGCAGTTGGACTGCAGATTGGAATTTTTCTGTTTATGTCCGGCTGAAAAACAGCAGGTCGAACAGCAAAATACGGGCTGCGGGGATGTTCCTCAATTTTTTTCTGAGCAAGATACAGACACATGTTGGACACATTAGTTGCAAAAGAAAAGGATAAACCACTCTAAATAACATAAATCAGATAATGTTTCCCAAAATAATACCGATAACAAAAGGTCTGCTGAACTATCAAAAATAACAACATATTAATAGTTTACTAATCGCTAATAACCTAATTAGAAAATAGAAGAATAAGAAAAGACCAAAAAAAAAAAAGATTAAGATAACTTGCTGCAAAAAAAGAAATAAATAAAAAGGATGCCTTGGGGTATGTCATTATAGTAATCACGGAGTCTGTATGTCGCAGAACTACAAATGTACGCATCCATGGGAAGCCCAACTCAGTGGAGCGTGAACTTGCAGAAATTCCGCATCTGGGGAAGCCTAGCTCCGACGTCGTGCAGTGATGATGAAAATATTGGATCTAGGGTTTGCCAAAAACTAAGTGGAGAATGTAGAAATGATTTTGGTGTTGGTATTATGTTTTGTAAATTTTAGGTTTAAGAATGAGAAAGCAAAGAAAAAAATCTGTAAACATTTAAGATTAAACTCTCTGATATTAACTGACACCAATCTAGTGTTCTAGGGAGTGTGGGAGGATCAAAGAATTGTTTAGATTTGTGTAGGATGCGAAATGAAGGGGACAAAAGTTGTTGATGTCTGAAATTTTGTGCAGTTGGCTTCTAGACAGCAGCGGGCAGCAATCTAGAAGCAAGAAATAACAGGTGGGCAGCATGTGTGGAGTTAGGGAAGGGTATTTGGATTTCCCAGAGAGTTGACCACCTAGATCTGATCATGTTATAGACACCACCTGAGTAAGATCAAATGATACAACACTCCAAAATGATGAAAGAGAGAAATCATCTATAACGCATAAAACCAAAAAAAAAGGTGTGCAGCAGATTTTCTCAACACAATACATATAATAAACAGCGAATGACTCTAATTCAATTCAATATAAGTATAAAATGGGGCCCACAAGGTCTGGACCACCCCTATGGGTAGAAATAATCCACAACAGGTCCGTTGGAACTGCCTTGATTCCAACCTGAGAGGGGAAAATCCCACTCCCGCATCATATGGCCATTTGATTTCACTAAAAACAATTAAGTTCCTGCGACCTTAGTCCAGCACAGTTATTTTCTCTTGCAATACAACATTCTGCCCTAGTCGTTGTAAGAACTGTACATGTGGACATGGGTCTGATCACTTTTGCTTCAAATAATTAGCAAAATCAGTGATATAAAATTTCTTCTATTTTATAAAACAAATGAATATATAATCTTTCATAATCGTAATTTTTTAGGGAAAG